CTTGTTTACATTATGAGCTTTTCATATTTTGTAATAACGACTAACGCGTTTACATTTAAGATTCAACTACAACGATTATTACGACAGCGATTACTGAAAATGTTATGTGACCCAGTTTTCACATACAACAGTTTATAGTATGTGTGAACAACCATTATGCGCCATAAACTTCGTTAAGTAACTTAGGGATACCTCATAATTTTCGTGTGAATAGAACCGAAATAATTCGTGACTAGAATGTCATACGTATCATATGGACTTCATCTGATAATGTGAAAGAAATTTACAAGGTTACGTAACATAATGTACGTACATAATCTACACGTCGTTTACGAACGATTATTGCAAGAACGGATGTGCCACTACACGGGGAAAATAAAAGTATTAACGCACTTTAGCATGTAGTCTTGTTTATTTTATGGTCGGCGGTGAAATATGAGGCAGTTGTGTAAGTGTTGCTAAAATCGTTGTTCTTGGATGGTTACATAGACGGGCTATATGAGATTGAACTTTAATTTATTGTTCAGTTAACAGTATTGGCATTACGCAATCGGTTTTCATGACAAAAAGAGTTTTAGGGAGATAAAAATTCATTCGACCTTGGGATTATAACTAGTAATATAAACGTGCTTAAGGTTTTATTATGTGTATAGTTTTGAAAATCCTTTGTCAATTACAGCTTTTATTTAAATTTCCAAAAGAATGTCTATAACATAACATGTCAAGTAGGATTACTGGACATGTTACCTGTTGTTTGATTTCTAATAAAAACAAAGTTTTAGAATAAAAACTTTCTTGAATGGTATTTATTACAGATAAGATTAAACCACGTCTGTTAAATCATGGATGTTCAACTGTATAGTTTCGGATATAACAGGAGCCTTTTTGAATCGGTGTCTGGCAACATTGTGGAAGAACTTCACACCGAGAAAAAATGTTCAGTCGGCTGCAAAACTGGTTAGACATTTCTGAAATACAACGCTGTAACAATTTTTACACATGTAGATCTTGTTTTGGAGTCCAGAGGGACAATAAATGGAATTTTTTATTTCGTCCTTATGCATTGCAAGTAGACAGGGAAATGTATACTTTTAGGATAATTGAAATACTCACTTATGCAAGCACACCTAAGCCAAGGAGGTAGTTAAGCTGACCTGCACCTTGAGTACGTCTATGTGTATAGAAACATTTAATAATCTGTATATTTTAACTTTTAAATTATTATTTACTCACTTTCTGTAAAAAAATATTATCAGATGGTCCAAAATAGTTCAATCAATGTGCACCACTAAAGCGAACCATAAAATACAAAAGTCATCCTCAAACAATACAATTTAAAACTTGATTGCTGCTAAAAGATATATTTAGTAAGCGGCCTTAACACTCAGGTATTAAAGCGATGTCTTTCGATTCAGATATTAATTTACTAATATCGCTTTTATAAAAACAGCATAACAATAGTACTCGTATACAATCGCACTATGATTTGAAGTACAGTTTATGGGCACGTTTTACTGCTAGTACTCTAGAGGGTTATGAAAATGATAGTAATATCACATTATCGTAATCTTATATTTTTGTTGTATAACAGCTAATCTAAAATGCCTAATAATAATTTATCAGCTGGCGTTACTTACGGTGGTCGTCGAAATTATATAATTCTGAGGAATTATTCACAATAGTCATTATGTTTTTGAGTACAAAACATAATGTCGTCTACAATAAATACTTGTTTCATCACCACTGCCAGACAATACTATTTGTAACCCCTAAACAGAGGTTTTAGTAACATTATATTCGGTATAATAACATATATTGCAAGGCAAAACCCTAAAGCTTCGTTGTGTTGCAAGCAAGCAAAGCGCACGTTGTGTAGAAATAGAAAAAAAGATTTAACCCAGCTGTTACGCTTGTCTCAAATAGCTATATTTTTTTATTAACTATTCATTTCACAGTAAAATAGTTCGTGTACCTATAATATAATAGTTTCCGTCAAAAGATTATATTGTCAATGGATAAATTGACGTTTGAAATTCTTCATTTAGAGTGGTCTTCCTTCAGTTCTCGCTCTCCTGCTAACACTCTCTGCTGCTGACGCGGTTATGTGTGTTGTTATCTCAATTCTACAGTAAAACTAAACAATACTTACAGTTTTCTCTGTCTTTTATCGCTTTATGAATAACAATTCTATTGTTGGGATATCCTGCTATGCCAGATAGATGGTTACTCAGGCAAACCCGACGTAATATTTCCACGCCAAAAATTTGTTATAAAATATAACGATGGTACGAACATTCTGTACGTTATTCTTTCAACTAAGGTTGAGTTTAAATTTATTAGAATAAAAACAAAAATTTTGTACAACATCCAACCGAAACAATGTTATCTATTGATTAATTTAAGGAAAGAAAGAACAAAAAAGGGGTGGCAAATGCCCTTTCTTTGTTAAATTATTTTACCTTTTTATGTACTCATAATTTTACTCTCATTAATTTAAAAAAAAAAGTGTCAGGCGGCGATGTCTGACGGCCATACCCTTGCTCCTCATTACGTACTAAAATTGTCGTGATGAATTGAACCATCTCTGCCTTTATTTTCAAATAGACATGTAAATCTAAAATACTAATGTTATAGTTGAGCAGTTTGTCTTTTGCTTGAATTCACTAATATCCAATTGGATGACAGTTTTTTTAAATTGCAGAATAGAATAGAATACTCTTATTAAAATCCTCCTGAGAGATACTAAACAAAGGTGAATAGGCCTCTTTCAAAATCTTGCACAATGAGGAGTTTTCTACTGCAGTTTCAATCCATGGACCAGAGCATTATTTGACTTCATTATTATTTCTTTGTACTGGTAAAATTATAAGAAAAATAGAATTCATGACTTTACCGTGTTTCTATAAACATTTGATTGCAACATCAACAAGACAAAATCAACAATGAAGTAAAATTGAAATTACTATTATTAACTAAATTTTACTCAAATATAACTTATTCACAGTTTTTAAAATTGTGTCTTGTGTAGTCACAACCTTACAGAGTTTTTATATCATGTTTATCAAAACTTAAAAATGTAATTGGAATATCGTTTTGTTATTTGTTTCGTTCGTGATTGTAATGGACACGAAAACTGTTTTCAAATTCTAAATCGCTGTAGTTCACGTTAAGAAGAACACTGATTGCCTTTAGATCATAAATATTGGTTTGTGCTCTAGTTGTGAAAAATAATAAAATTGTATTGAAATGGGAACCGTCTCACATTCAACGATTGGTTTGATGGGCAATCTAATTATAATTATATAGTGCATAGGCAAAGTGAGTTGTTCATTTAGTCGATCGTCTATATACGATGTTGATACGTTCTAAATAGTTTTTGCAATATAATAATCAATATGAGATTACTCTACTTCTTTTCACAAAGTGTGTCAGAACTTAGGCTAACATTTACAAAAATAAGTGAAGTGTAAAATTCTTTATTAAGTTGTTTACTGTTTTTAAAATGTGTAAGTATTTCTTGGTAAAACATGAATTATTAATAAGATAGCAAGTAAAAATAAGAATGATATAATCTACCTATCTGGAAAGCAAACCTTATTTTTGACTTGTTGTTTTTACCCTCCAGGGCGAAACTAACCTGTCCATTGTCACTTGAAATTTTATTGTTAATAAAAAAACCGATACCCTTTCCTGTACGGTTGTGCAATAAAATCATGAAAGCGTATCAAACAAAGAACTCAATTTATCGTAATATGGGGCAGGACTACAGAAATACGAAAACCATTGAACTGCATAGGAGTGCTAACAATCTAACCACACCACAGCAGAGGGGTCCACTTTCTTATCATAAGAGTCAAATTAATTCTAAAATAAAAGTAACTTCGTGGCGTAAAGTTTTAAAGTTTGACCTTCTTTTCTATTATCATTCCGTTTAAGCATTCACCTTGCTCGGTATAAATAAAGCTTGTATTCAATGTAGGCTGTTGGTCGCTCTTAACTAACTTTAATGCTTAAGTAATTAAAAATAGTCGGTTAGGCTATCTTCTTTTTTATTGATTGAGATAGTAGGTGAACATAAAGAAGAGGATCATTAATAGATATAAGTATAAATGATATCATAACACTGTCTCATAACTTCATTAATTGACGTTTTGATCTATGAACTAAAGTGTTGTCTGAACACTTCAGAACTTTATTCTTCAATTGGTATAAAATAACAGTATGACCTGAAATGATGTCATCGTAAGTTAGCAATAATTCAAATACTTCTAACGAGTAACTATATAAGTAAAGCATAAATTTTTAACAGCATAAAATCAACATTAAGAATTTATACTCAACATGTATCTACCTACACGTATAATATGGTATTATTTTTAAAGAATGTTAGATATAACCTGCTATCATCACTGTTTTCATCAAAACCGTCGTGTGATTCCGATTGCCTTTCTGTACGCCAATATCTAGAGTAGTGCGGTATTTAACAACAAACGGTCGATACGCGCGACCACTTTTCGAGCGGACAGTCGGCTGAACGCATTTGCGCTACTAATGACTTAAAAAAAATAAGTTCGTATCAAATTACCATTATTTTCAAAATCAGTTTTATTATCTTTTTTATTAGAATAATTACGTATCGTAAACGTATTAAAAAAGAAAACTAAGTTCAATTTTCGAAAATTTCTCGAGCGCACTTTGTGCTATAGACTGTTTTGCCTTGTGGTCAATTATCTAGTGTAATCATTGGTGAAGTAGAGGTTTTTCTTTTTAACTGATGGTTTGTTTAAATTGTAGGTTTTCATACGGTGCACTTGCGTAGAGGCTTTGCGACGCCGGATATGAAGACAGTCTATTGTTGAAGTTGGCATGAAAATGTTAGGTTCCTTCAAATCTAATGCGATGAAGATATTGGTGTGCTGAATTTTAGACTAAGTGAGCTTCAATGTTCGTGTAGTGTCGAAAACAAGTTTTGAAGGACTCTGTGGTGTGCTATATTCAATATGATTGTTCTAAAGGTGAGTGCTCGAAGACGAAATTGTAACTAACATAAATATTGGGAGTAGAACGTTGTGAAAAGAAAATCATTGCACTAGGCGATTCATTTATTATTTACGACAGTTAATAACTGCTCTAAGTTTTAAATTGGTGAAAGAACTTTTTGATTTAGGCGTGAAAGTGTAACAAATAAACTCAATTTTCACCTGTATAATATAAGTACTGATGACAGGTGAACATAATATATATACTAAATAGATTACTGTAGACCATTTCACAAAAAAATATTATAACACACGTCTCATGAATTTAAGGTTTTTCCACTTCATCTATTCATAAACTTCAAGTACACCCTTCAAGTACACCTTCAAGTACACCCTACATTTCAAGTTCTCTGTACTTGAAATTATTTTATAAATGTGTACATAGAATTCTGTCTATTTAGTGTTACTTTATATCTGGACGCAGGCCTCTCCTTAGAAAGGAGGTTGTGGATTACTATAATCACGCTGGCCAGAAAGGTTTTTATAGGGTTTTTTGTCAAGTTTTAATTCTCTATACAGTGTTGTTGTCCTGCGTGGATTGCTCCCTTAGTAGGCTTTTATGACACCCAAGGGATGAATAGGGAGGGTGTCACTACGTCTTCTGAATCCGTCACCACACGGATTAAGATAAAAACTATTATCGACTAAAGTGTACCAATATCTCAAGTGCGTACATTAATGAATGAAACTGTGTATTATTTAACTAAAATATGCAATAAATTTAGTAGCAATAAAGTAGTAGTTACGTAGTACTTACTTTGGGTAATTTAATAAGCCGGTGGTTGAATTTATATATATAATTACACTAGAGACAAAAATAAACACGCTGTCTACGGTTTCATGTAGGTTTTATTATTTTAACTTGCTTATAAATAAGTAAGACTCTGAAAACGTTAATTGTAAGAAAGTTGTACCAAGATGAAGATACCTCAGTTGTTGGCAACTGAGCTACCTGAACCTCATCTAACTTTCTATTTATAAACAAGTTTAATCCAAGAGCTTCCTGAGGCTATCATCAACAGCCTTTAATAGGCCACTGCTGGACAAAGACCTCTCCTTAGAAAGGAGTTTTTGGCCTACTATACCACGCTGGCCAAACGGGTTGGTATAGGGTTTGTGTCAAGTTTTCCTTCTTTATGCAGTGCTGGTGTCCTGCGTTTATTTTTTTTTTGCGCCCTTAGTCGGCTCTTACGACACCCACGGGATGAATTGGGGTAGTGACATTCCGTATTCTTAATCCGTCACTACACGGCTATGGGCGTCTCTATCGACCCTCAGTATAAGATGTCTTCTATGGGGTGGAGGCCTCCACCTAATAATCCTAACTTGTCTTTTTTCATTTAAATTTTGGTTAAAGGAGTAAATGTAATAATGACATCGTAATCGACATTGTATTTTGTGACTCAATCCGCATGGTCTTTCTGCATAATATCCTTTTTTTTTTTTTCGTGCGGAAATCCCCTCGGATACCACCTGTCGGTGGCATGTCGGACTCGAACCGACTAAAACCGCACGCCGTCTCGGGTACTAATAGCCGGGGAACCAGGTATACAGTAGAAAGGAAGTCCCTGGTGCCCCGACATACCTCGGGCCATCTACAACAACAGGTAGACGACCCCCCCCCCCCCCCGTGTGGGAACCCCATGTCCCCTCTGCTCCCTGGAAGCGAGCGCGCTCTGCAACGCGCTCGCCGCCACCCCGGCTTGCTTCTGCTAGGGTGAGAGATGGCCTCACCTGTCACCCCCAGGCCTGCACTTATGGAGGACGGAGGTCGTTCTGCGTCTGCATAATATCCCTAGGTTTCAAGTTTCAAGATCTGAGGTAGCATTCATTCTATTGTTTTGACATGAATATTCTATAACCGATTTGATATTCATTAATCATGTGAATAGGTATCTATTGCATTCATTGTCCGTTAACATTCCTTTATTTTATTTTTGTAAATATATCTGCATTTGTCTGAGATTTGATTTTGTTATATCACAGTTTGTTTATCTAAATCACAACATGATCTTCTATTATTTTTTTAATGGGACCAATCACCCCTACCACTGTTACTCCTGAGACGGACCACGGCCACGAAATATAATGGGTCTTATGTCAGCTATTTTTGATTTCTATAATATGTATGGCAGAATCACCCTAGTTGACACAAGATCCCCATAGTATACCGCTCCAGATGTCACATGTAAGCTATTCAGCATTATATTACTATCATCATACCAAAGACTACATTCCCAGAGGATATGATGAGCAGACCGTTCACGGTTAGAGTCAGGTGTTGAGTATTGATCCAATGGTGACTCGACTAATTTAAATGAATACAGTTGATCTTTTAAATTGTTAAACAACTTGTTTTTGTTTTGAATTTCAAGTATAGTTGTTTTTTTAGGATTATCAGGCAAACATTCAATTTCTTAAAACCACTTATTATGAATAAAGATTATTGCTACCTCATTTTTATAAAGAGGATGGTTTGCATTTTTATAACGGTTGTGTAACAAACAAACTCCTTTGAACGAACGTTTGAAACTGTATGATATATTTACTATGTACTCTACTAGCTTGTACTAGCAGTTTCGATCACTATAAAGTTGTTTTTCTAATTCTCGGCAATGATACTATTTCTCTCTGGAATATACTCCGATTTTACTTCCAATTAGCATAGACAACAAAAATGTTAAAGAAGGAGAGAAACCCACGATGATTTGTACTTAAAAAATAAATTATAATTACTCGTCATAATAGCTGTGTTATTATAGCTGTAAAAAAGAAGGGTGAGGTATAATTGGCTTCTAATAAAATAATTTCAAAGAAAAATGGAGTTGGCGACAGTCCTCCTTAACTTTATTCTCTACTACGACTGTTGTTTACTTCCATATTTTCGGAGTTTAGCGTTCAGCGATTAACTCTGTCTCTTTAGTTTTGTAGTATAATGTATATGGCATAGGCTATTTATTACGTTTTTGTTTATATTTCAAATTCTAATTTCAACTTTTTTCGTTAACTTCATTTCAGTGATATTTTACGTATGGTTGCCGCGAGGCAGGATAACGCTACTTTTAAAATTAAAGTTAACTATATTAACCTACTAACTACTATTACATTGTGAAATACTTAAATCAAATCTATTGTCTTACAACGGTAACATTACGCCAACATTGGAATACAGATTGCCCATTTCGGTTATATAGAGAACTATAAAAAGGTTTTGGTGTGTAATTTATGGAATTTGTGAAATAATTCGAATGCAACACCTACTACATGGTATTTTTGTTCAACATTCAAAGTGGATTTAATTGCTATTAATTCCTTACACCACAAATGTATAATTTAATTACTTTTTGAATATTCGTTTCATTTAGATGTTTCAAAATAATTACAAATTGCCCATATTGAGATTTTAGCTCCTCTCGAATAATTGAAAGCGAAAGTTGCTTCTTCATAGCATTAAGTTTTTCAAAGTAAATTACATATTGTAGATTTTTAACGATAAAAGTATATGTTAGTACAATAAATGCAAATGAAGAAACATTTATGCATTTTTTTGTCGTACTACCATCTGATTGTGAATGCTATTTAAAGAGCTTTGAGCACACTAATATTTTAGTATAAATTACTTACTAATTGAGTTTAGTTAGTAAACAAATAGTAACTTAGATTTAAATATAATGCATGCAACACCTAATATCCAAAGAGATTTCTTGATAACATCTTAATCAATAAGTCTGCCGATGTACATAGGTGTATAAAGTTATAAATAAATAATATTTGCATAACTTTAGAAAAGTACAAACAAACAAAAAATATCTTAACATCTTACTTAGACGTACTAATAGAGATTTGAAGTCTCTAAAAATATATGTACTTAGTTACTTTTATCTTCTCATTGTTTGCAAAAAATGTATAATTAACGTTTAGATCTTGTATTATGTAAACACTGACATAACAAGAAGAAAAAACACTAAAGGCAAGACTAGACCGTATTTCTTTTCTCCCCAAATGAAACCATAAAACATTCACATTTGGTTTTACACCTTTAAAATTACAAATAACTTCAATTAAGATTTTGTATGCTAAAGAGGATATCCCCTATACAATGTTATTTGACACAGGAAACATTAAGTGATCTGACCGATATTTTGTAACACTTTGATATCCTAATAATTATTTTGATAGAATAACTGAATGAACACATAATCGAATCACATCACACATTAACAGCGTTTAATGGTCCACTGTTGGACATAGGCCTCTTCTTAGAAAGGAGGTTTTGGCCTACTATGACACTCTGTATTCTTAATTCCTCACCACACAAATAAAACCGAATAAACACTTGTTGTTCGGCTAAATCGATTTACGCTTTAACGATATAGGTCTCGTTCGAATAAATTTACCGCGAAAATCGGTTATTATATAAATACTATTTAGTATGTAAGCAAATACCGGTAGTAGTATCTGAGGCTAAGGAATAACTATTCATAACGATGAAGTTAAATATTGAGTACAAAATAAACAATGGGATAAAAGTGAGAGTGAAATTAAGAAAGTAGAACATTGGAATATATGTGGGTATGCAGTTATTGCATTGGTAGATACATAATATTATGCAGAGATCATCATATGTTAAATGTAGATCAATTTCATTATTAATACTTTTGTCATTTTATTAGATTTAATTCCCAGTATAGCATGACTACGAAGAATTAGAGAGTTTGGAGTTACGTAAATTAGTCAAGTTGTCTTTTCAACATGAGTCTCATAAAAAGTTAAAAAAATATAATAATGATAATTTTATATGTACATACATAAAAAAATAAGAGATATTACTACTTAACTGACAAAACTCTTTTATGTCATTATTCCGAAAGAGCGCTTTGCAACACAATTTAATAGGTAGATGTTGGATACAAACTTAAAAGTGTATAATACACCCTTAAGTTTGTAAGTGTATACAAACTTAAAAGTAATTTTCAAAGTTATCTTGTTAGAACATTGTACATGCAAATATTTTAACGAATTTCTATTAAATTCACATAAGATGTAGTCCCACAGACACTGAGATCTAGATTGGCAGACGGTAAATTCAAGTATAAAAACACTTTGATATCATTATGATTACCATTGAGCGATCAAAATTGAGCATCAGAATACTAGTACAAGCATTTAAAGACGTCCTTAGTGTATTTTTACTAACGTTATCCCTCACATAAAAATTGAGAAAACTGGATGATAGGTCTGTAATACAGGACTATTTTATCATTAAAGGACTATATTTGTTAATTTGTTTCAATTGACCTTCTTCAACGATTTTATGCAGACATTCAGTTGGAGATGCCATTATTCATATTTTGAGATCAAGTATTTATTTACTTAGAACGTTAAAAGCATCTGTTATGTATTTTTTTTTGTAATGCAAAAAAATCCATCTCAAACGTTGTTTTAAACTTCTCAGCTTTTATACTCGTATTTTTACCATCTTATAATTTTTATAGGTGCGGTGTTAATAATTACATAATAATATTTCATCGCCCATGATTATCCTAACATATAATTTTAAAGTCTAGACTGCGATAGGTTGTGCAAGATTTTGCACAAGATATTAATTTATTTAAATCTCAGTTGCATTTTTATCATTTTTCTTGTAACTGTTGTCTGCTGTTTCGCTCTGTGATCTTGGAGTTATGATTAAAGATACCGCTGCATTAATTGCTATTAATATTACACGTTACATTATTACACGTTTAACTTTTTAAAGAATACTAAGGAAGAAACTAATCTAATTCGTAAAAATACGTGTAAGTACAAAGGTAAATATTATTAGTAGTAAATAAACTCTGTTCCAAAAATAACGGATCAATCACATAAACCCGAATATCTCCCGAACTACGTATGCCATCCTAATGAAACGAAGACTGTTCAATTGAGAATTTAATTGTACAGATAAAAAATAAAATAAAACTTAAATCTAAACTCTCTAACTCTTAACTTATCTCTTAATAAAAAAAAAACTAAAGTAGTCATATTTTTCTTAAGATTACATTTTTTTATGATTGTTTTTTTGCTGTTTTTCATCACTTTCTTCATTTAATACTTTGTATTGCCTCCACGAGCTCTTCTGACAGCTTCCAGGCGATAAGGCATGCTGTACACCAAATTTCGGAGACGGTGCTGAGGAATACCTTCCCATTCCTCCACCAGTGCTTCTTTGAGCTCGGGAAGCGTGGTTGGTGGGGGTTTCGACCTTTCACGCATCTCTGAAGCTCGTCCCAGGCGTGCTCGATGGCGTTTAAGTCCGGGCTTCGCGCTGGCCACTGCATGAGTTCGATACCGAAATCTTCAAGGTAGTCATGTACAATTCTGGCGGTATGGGGACGCGCATTATCATGCATTAATATGCCATGCCAGTCACCCTGGCCATGAAAGGACCTACATGTTCATTGAGGATCTCTTCCACGTACCTCTCTGCATTTAGAGTTCCATTTTGAATGAGTACCATCGTGCGGGCCTCAGTAGAAATCCCAGCCCAAACTTGTACGAAGTCTCCACAGTACGCCACTTTTTCCTCCACACGCGCTTGATGGAAACGCTCCCCTGGTCTTCTGTACACCAACTGCCTACCATCATGCTTATAAAGCATGAATTTAGACTCGTCCGTGAACATTACCCTAGACCAATCGTCTAGTGTCCAGTTTAGGTGCTCGCGCACGTATCTCTGTCTTGCAATTCGATGTCCCCGTTCCAGTTTGGGGCCATTTGCGGGCCTCAATGGTTTCAAATTTGCTTCAGCAAGACGTCTTCTTACTCTTTGAGCGCTTAAATTGCTACCTCCAAAGCGAATAAAGTGAGTTTTTAGACCAACAGCAGTTTGAAAACGATTTCGGAGCATTGTAGCCACCAGTTGTCTGTCTTCCCTGGCCGTTGTGCATCTTGATCTGCCATTTCCTGGTCTTCTAAGATGTGATCCGGTCTCTTGGTACCGCTGGACTACCCGCTGAACAGTCGACAAAGATACACCAATGTTTCTGGCTGTTTCACGCTGGCTCCACCCAAGTTCCAAAAAAGTTAGGATTCTGGTACATTCCTCTAGCGTGACTGCCATGCTTCACCTCACAGAATAATAATTATGCACGTGGAAGACGTTCACGATAATTTTTTTTGTGACAGAATAGAAATGGAAAGCATCTATAATGAAATGAAACAAAAATTTTGTTTTTAAAAATAGTCATTTTTAAAATTTTGTTTTTCTAATGAAGTTTTTTACATCAACCAGTTTAAATAATATGCTATTAGAAGCGCAACTAAAAAGTCTTTATTCTGTTTTTTATTTCATTGATCTAACTTTTACAGTTCTGGAGGTATTTCAATTTTTGTGACTGACCCGTAATTTTTGGAACCGAGTGTATATATTTACTAATATAGTAAATAGATTAATTAGGGTTCTTGCTAAAAAGACGACAATGCAGGATAATAAATATCTCGTAATATTAATAGGTATCTAAACCATACAATAATATTAAAACAAACATGTCTTTTGAACTACATATAATGGTCTTATCTGTGACATGAACTTAGTTTATTCTAAATTTATGAGCTCATAGGTAGAACCCGTATGGTTATTCATTCTAAATTTATTTGTTATCTTGTTATTGACCATTTGAAACAACACTTATTATATCATGATGTGATTAATTTTTCAAAATATTATGTTATAATGAAAATAGTGTTATAATGTATCTATCAAAATTTCATTCCCACGGAATAAGATACTCATTTTATGAAGCCAACCATTTATAAAATGTCTGAATTGGTGTTTCAACTGACACTTCATTAACACGTGTTTCGTCTGAAGATAATAATCTTTACTGTGTTTGATGAACATCTGTACGAGTAGATTAAAAGTTATAATTACTTTGGTAATTCATAAAGATTCACTGATACTCTGGCAAGCTCTACACTAATAAGCTTTATGTGTACATAGAGATACTTTACGTTATACGGTCATATAACACAGGTTTGGAGTTTACACCAGAATTGGTTATTATCTGTCCAGAATTATATGTAGTATAATAAATGAATATTTTAAAATATACATATACACTCATGAGAAAAGTGAGAAAGGCCTTACAAAAAAATTGTGATTAAGAAACCGGGCAAGTGTGAATCGATTAACACCAGTTGTGCAATTTGTTACAAAATAAAATAATATTCTTTTTCTACTTTGTTATTCTTTCTTTTATTTAGATGGCGTGGGATGTGAAATTTGAAAACAAAAGAATTAATTCTGTAACACTGTCGACAGTCTTGTTATTTGCCATTAAAGTTAAATAATACAGCTGGTTTTATTTTAACCGACAACTTCTAATGTCGGTTGTCGGAGGTTCTGACTTTAATTATTTTTTATGTTATACAAGTACTCAAAGAAGACTGAACCGATTTATAAAATTAGTTTTTTAGTTACTTATTAATGAGTGATTAGGTCTGATGATATATATGGTGTTCTGATTATATTAAAGGAACTAATCGTGATTATGGTATTATTTATAGTAACTTGTAACTTAAACACAGCTTTTGTGAAGTGAAACTGATCACAAATTGTTATTAAAACCAAAAGTAAAATTAGGACCATTTTGGCGTATTTATATAACACTTCTTTAAAAACCAGCTAGATTTACGCGTGTTGCTTACTATGATTGATAATATCATAATGATGTGAAGCCATTTATTTATGCTATCTGTTAAAAATGTATTAAGCGAACATCGCTGCCCTCTTGGGTTTATGCAAGTACTTTGTGTAGATGATGATGAATATATGTAATCACAACTTAATGAAAGGTAACCACTTAAGTTATAAGTAAAAGTTAGCATTCTCGCGTGGCGTGTGTCGGCAAAGTTAACTGATTTCATAATCATTTCTAGTTTATTTTTTGCCATTCACCTGTTTAATATAATGTTGGGTGCGGTCGCAGCCGTGGACGTTGCCGTTTTTAGCGAACTAGTGTAGGCCAAGCGTCTCGGATATCTACTTTTTTCTCGACTCACTTTTTCGCTTTTACTTTCAGGTTGCAACCGTTTTCTTTCTGGCCCTTACCGTGGGAGCCGAGAAAAAAATCGAGTTACAAGACATCGAGGAAGATAATTTAAAAAGTGAAAAAGAAAGCGTTATACATAAATCTGATCAAGGTTCACAAAATAGTGGTTCAGGAACTGGACCAGGATTGGTTCCGTTTGATTTAGTGAAGAATAATCTTCTGAGATATTTCGGTCATCAACCTCCTCCGCCTCAGCAGAGGTATGTCCATCAGTACGCTGTTACTGAGACTCCAGAAAGGTCGTCTACAGCAAGAACCGTACAGTATTCACCGCCAACAGCACCTCAACAAGCGATGGTAGGATACTTGTCTAATTTCCCGATGCAGGTGTATTTAATCCCACAATATTATTTCGATCATACTTTAAATAACCGCCCGCAAATCAATCAGCAATCGCATTCTCAATATCAGCCTCAAGGTGAAACGAGAGTGGCACCTTATCAGACTGCCCCTTCAAACGCGATTCAAACACAAAGTAATTATATTGAAGTACCTGCATATGTGGCACCAACAGGTAAGACGTACGTTCCGCAATATACTTCTCCCGTATATGTCGGTTATCAAGCACAGCCTACAGCCTCTCCAACTCAAGCTACAGTTACTCCTGTTGAGACATATCAAGTACCAGTTATAGAATATACACCTAAAGTAGTACAGCCTACCAATGCTCCTACATCGTACTATCATAATCCACATTATAATGATAATAATTCAGTAGATGATGAGCAAGTCCATGAAGACGGGCAGAGGCAATACAACATAGAAACAGAAATCCCGTTACATAAACAAATGCCAGAATTTCCTCGGCACTACAATTCTCGGGTTCCAATAAGGGAAGATTATAGACCATTACACTCTAATACTATTACAGAATTACCACATCCAAATCCAGTATTATTAAGAGGGTCTCCCTCACATTTGGCTCATATACCGAAAGCCTTGCCAGTGTATCGACCATTGACAAAGCCTGTATATCAAGGTGGGCTCGGTCAAGTCTCAAGTACGATCTCTCAACGTCCACATGATGTTTACGGGCCTCCACCTTTTAAAAGACGTCCTACCTCTCTGATAGATTCTTACATACCGTCTAAGGTTCAAATTGAATATCTAAAAAGAGGTTTAGTGAAGGAACCCTCAGCGGTTTACGATGCGCTTGCTAGTGGTCGTTTACCCCATCTAATTCCACGCAACTACGAACGAGGTTTTCTGCCAAACCAGATGTATCATACAGGTGCTGGTGCTGTTACATATGGACATTATAAAAGGACACCCAAAGTTGACAAAGTCCAACAATAAATTAATCCATGACTGAAAACAATTCTACTTTAACTAGGTTAGTTTTAAATAGTAAGTATGTACATTCGAGTTAAGAGAATAGGAAGTGTTTAGAGAATTGCACATTACATATGTACATTCTTAAAATAAACAGAACATATTATAGTCTTGAATATTAGGTGTTTATGTAAAGTGTTGCTCTATAGAATAGTCCTGATAATAGTAAAGAAACATTTTGTTGCTCCACTGAGAAGCCCCAGAAGAAGTATAATGTAAGCCTTTGTATTGTGGTTATGCTACCCACTAGGAAGGTTAAAATGATACAATAAAAATATGGTAAATCTATATTGATGTGCCGTCATTGCTGCGGTAACTCATGGACATTGTACTAAAGACCGATTACATATATAAAAATCAAAGTTTTTGACCAGCGCAATCATTAATATAAAGAAATAATATGATTCGATGTACAAATTTAAATAAAATTAAAAGGTTTGCATCAGGCAATCGTTACTTATAGGGAGTGTTTTGTTGTGCAATGAATATTAAATTATGTGTTATTCACGTTTACGCTGCTATTATCTTAATTCTCTATTTAAAGAAGTGTTATGATATGAAATGTTATGTGTGATTGAAATGTTGAAACGGAGTAAGGCTTATTTAAGAAAACTTTGTAAATGATATTTTAGAAAATAATGTTCTAGGTTTAACAGAATACAACATAGAAAGTTTGATATTAAAAACATTGTTATAGTATGATATTGTTATTTATAATAAAGTTGTTGTTAAATATTGTAGGGTGTGATTTATTTGTTATTTGCTTTTTACAACTTATTTGATTGCTTTACTAATAAAAATTAAATTAGTATGGTAAAAAGTATATTTTGATATCATTGCTGTATTTTTGAATATTAAACAAATAATTTATTTGTCACAAATTATAGATACTTTTTTATTAAATATTTATTTATCTGATACAGAAAGTATTTACATCTACCGAATTATAGAATTGATGCGTATTGCCACAAAATGACAGCTCGTTCCAGTAGGCTAGCGACTTACCAAAACCTTTAAATTTTAATGCCTTTATGTTGATATTGGCATGCTTATTACAAGGTATTAGTTCGTCAACTTTATTTCATAAAATCATTCCTAAGAACACATCTACACATACCCCCTCCTAAGCGCAGCTCATCATCTGCATGAACTGCCAGGGCCTCAATTCTGCTATTTTATGTTAACGCCAAGCCACTGTCATTCCATTGACATGCTATTTAGATGTTATTGAGACGCCATTAACATCGGTCAAAATATCAATATGCTACTAACATCAATTCACAGTGTAAATAGACTGTCGATATAGGTCATCAATGGTTACATCAACAACATTGCCGTACCTGGAAAAGTATATATATCATTTTCTTAAACCATTAAAAACATCGACGACATTTGTATCAGTGACAAGTCATTGGGAGGCCATTGGTCTTACAAAGAGGAAAAGTGCAACACTATTCCGACGTCATTCCATCGACAGTCTATTGATACAATATTCAAATAGCAGAATTGAGGCCCAGCTCCCGCATCGGATGTAAGATTATAAATCGAATGTTGCTCGAAGCATGGTTAGGCAGATCTTCAATTCTATAATTGTCCAGTTGACTATCAAATAATTGATGTCTTACTTAACCATGTGTCATAAACACAAACATACCTACTTAGGTATTATAACTGGGCCTCAATTCTGCGATTTTATGTTCACGCCAAGCCACTGTCATAAACATTTCCTTATAATTTGAAAATATATTACGTTTTATTGAGGAAATGATTTATTTATTTCTTCAAATATGTCAATCTTTTTGATATCACCACTCATGAGCCACTGCCATTCCATCGCCACTGTATAGACACTGAGTTAGTGTAGACTACCGATATTTATACAGATGCCAATGGCCACTCGATGACATCTCAATAGCGTATCAGTGGTATGACAGTGGCTTGGCGTGAACATAAAATAGCAGAATTGAGGCCCTGTACTTTAGTTCTGTAACAAAATATTTTAAACAAACTTAAGTTAGAAAACTAAGCCGGTCAGAAGGATTGGTATAGGGTTTGTTTAAAGTTTTCCCTCTCATTACCGTGCTGTTGTCCTACGTCGTTTGTACGCTTATTTGGCTCTTATGATACCTACTTATTAATATAAACTAAGATAACTTTTTTATTTATTTAAACAGATTAAAACACCCCCGACTGCAAATCCATACAACAATTGAATCTTTTGATCATTTGACAATTGGACATTCAAGGTTGCCATGTCTTGGAAATACCACCAAATTAATATTACACTAAAACTCATATCAATTAGACCAGTAAAAGTTTGTAAGTACCTTTTGAGGGCCGATTTTACTACTTACGATATTACAAATTATACCTTTTTTTTTTCTGTGCGAAAATCCCCTCGGATACCACTTACTGGTTGCAATGTCGGACTCTAACCGACTCAAACCGCACGCCGTCTCAGGTACCAGTAGTCGGGGAACCAGGTGTACCCTAGAAAGGAAATCCCTGGTGCCCTGACGTACCTCGGACCATCTACGGCGGGTAGACGACCCCCCCTGTGTGGAACCCCTATGTTCCCTCTATGCTCCCGTAAGGGGGGGGGGGGGCGGCGCGCTTCGCAATGAGCTCACCGCCACCCCGCCCTGCTTCTGCCAGGGTGACAGATGGCCTCACCTGTCACCCCAGGCCTGCGCTTATGGAGGACGGAGATCGTTCTGCGACCTTCGGCGCCTGTGTCCTCTGCAAGAAAATGGCGGAGCGGGACCGGGAGAGTTCTAAACCTCTCCCGGTCCCGCTCCGCCATTTTCTTTGCGAGCATTACTTGCTTGCAGAAGGAGACGACGGAGTTCCACGCACTCTCGCTCCTCACGATAGCCGCAATCAGGTTACCGAGCGAGAGAACTCCCACTCCGATGGCCGCCACGAGGTCTTGCCTCTGCTCCACCCACCGCCGTGTCCACGGTCCGACCATCGCAGTGGTGGCACTCAGGCGTTGGCTCCTGCAGATCAGACACAGGTGATCCCCGAAACATCCTTTCCCAGTGATCTCCTGCGTCAGTCGGTATGAGAGGGTCCCGTGATGCCTCTCTAGCCAATCCTCCATAACGGGTCTTACCGCCGCGATGACGGCGTGCCCGTTACAAATTATACCTGAGAGCTGTCTCACCTCTTTTGTCGTCAACTTTAAAAAAACGAAGAAGAACTAACAGGGCTAATATTAAAGGGTGTCAACTTCTGTATGCTACATGGAGTCACTACAAGGTGAAACATTTTGTCTGACCTTATATTATTGTTATACGAGGAGCGGCTGAAAAGTTCGCCTAGCACTCATGTTACTAATATCACTAGTTTCGACACTAGTATTATAAAAGCAATCACTAATTAAGTTTGCACTCATAGTTCAATTATTTATCGAACAACAAACATCACCATATCAGCCGAATCTGAAAATTTTCGGAATTTGGAACACCGTGAAAAAATTCCTCGTCAAGAAGGGAAATACACCGAAAGACATTTTTGAAGAGATGTCATCGGTTTTTCAGGATTCTGCGCCTTCATATACGATGGTGAAAAAATGGGCTCGTCTATTTCAACAAGAACGAGAGAACTGTAAAGACGACCCTCGCCCGGGTCGCCCAGTCATGGTACTGACCGAAGAAAACGTCGAAAAAGTCGAAAAAATCGTTTTGGCCGACCGAAGAATTAAATTGTGACAGATTGCCGAAGAATGTCAGATTAGTAAAAAAAATGAGTTGCAGAAATTTTACATGAATATTTGAATATGAGAAAAATTAGCGCTCGCTGGGTACCGAAAATCCTCAGACTGCTCCACAAGCAACGTCGACTCGCAAGTTGTAAAGATTTTTTGTAGCTAGTCGGTGATAACAAGGAAGACATTTGACAACTGATAGTTTTTTTTTTTAAGAGGTAGGTTTTAAGAACTACCCATCGATTTTAAGTTTCTATAGCCCAATTTTCATTACAACAACCCTTTATAGCGAATGCAGCTCTAAGTGCAAGTAATGGTTGTTTTATAATAAAAGATGATTGATGAAATTTCACATGGCATAATATTTAATCTTCCTCATTACACAGTGTATAATTAAACGAGTCGGAACCGTCACGTTTTAACCGATCAAAATAAGCATCATTAAGGTGATAACATATTATAAGTATTTAACTAAGGTTAATCGCTATAGATGCTTAAACTGAAACACTCTCACCGGCGGAAGCCGTGGCTCACATTTGTGGGCAGTTTGTGGACTACATTTTTTGGCGCTTAGTGCACATTATGTGTAATAATATTACGTCAAAGTCTATTGTCTTTAATATATCTCTCTAATATATATTGGTTTTCTCTGTCAATCAATTTATTAAGATCGCCCTTCTCATTCTAAGCATAAAACCATTTGATATAAACAATACTAACAAAGACCACTAAAAATGAAAAAAATATATTACAAATCTAAGTAAAAAAAACTATATTATAATAGCAATAGTCCCTTCTAGTCTGTTTGAAGTTGGTGCCAAAATTTTTACAGAATTATATTAATATTTTATTAGCCACATAATAAACACTTATTGTGATGAAATGTAAGTCGCAGCATGTTTATAGCTTACCCAAAAGTCTTCGTCTTTACTTCTCTTGTCTTTTACAGATGTTATCAGCCGGTGATGTACAGAATACCGACACTAAGTAAAACAATAATAATGTTTCATTATATGTTTTAGGAATCAAATAGATTGCCTAGATATTGTATAAAATATCGGCTTATACAGATTGCTCTTAGTAAAATTTTTAGTTAATAGTTTACAAAAAGGTATTACCTACCCTTTGTACTATAGTAAAAATCATTCAAAAAATGTTCTATTTTCAATTAGTAAAACATTACTAGTTTAACCGGCTTTAAGGCATGACTAATATTAATAATGTTTTTGTAGCTTATACAAATACTCGTAACTGA